ACAAAAATAATTTTTTATGAAAATTAAAATAAAATTTAATATTAACACAAAATTATAAGTGTAATTTTTTAGTTAAAAAAACATTTTCAATTTTTATGTGTTAAATTAATAAACTAAGCCCAGTATTAATAAAAAAAACGTATTAAATATTTGTCGAAATAACAACTTATATATAATTAATTATTAATTATAATTAATTATTTAATTATAATTTAAAATATATATCATATTTTTTTGAAACTTATAATAAAATAAAAATAAAAAAATAATAAATAAAAAGAAAAAATAATAAAAAAAAATAAAAGATTTTTAAAAAAAAATAATAAAAAAATAAAACCATAAAAATATAATACAATAAAAAAAATACCAAAAAAAAAAGTAAATAAATAAATATTTAATTAAAATACAATTATTGTATATAACAAAATTTATTCACATATTAAAAAAAAGTTCTGAGAACATCTGTTAGATCTAAACGAAAAGAAAATGATAACATACATAATAGTTATTTATTTATATATATTTATTTATATATTCCTTTTAATATATAACAACGATTTTTTACAAATATACTCACTTAACTGTAACAACAATATAAAAGTCACTTAATAATTTAATAAATATTTTAGTAAAAAAAAATTAAGACCATAAGGCACTCAGATTCTCTTATAATTTAAGTAACAAATTTAATGAAATATGTCTTATAAGGAGATTTTATTAATATCGAAAGTAATTAATTTATAACTTAAATTTCTGCAATTTTAGCTTTTTTTTATTGAGTTGGTAACAAATTTTTTCCTAAAATATAAATAGAATTTATAATTTGAAGATTGATTCAAATTTTAATTATTTTAAAATTAATTATTTTGTTATCAATTATTTTATAATTAATTATTTTATAATTAATTATTTTTTAATTAATTATTTTATTATCAATTATTTTATAATTAATTACTTTATAATTAGTTAATTTAGTTACAAATAATGAATTATACGTTATCGAAATGAGACCTATTCCTCTATTCAAAAAAAAAATAAAATATAGATGGAAATCATACGTCCTGACTTGTTGCACATATTCATGTGCTAATATAATTACTTTTAGTATGAAAAAAAAATATTTAGAATCTTATACGATTATGAAATGTTTGTTAAGTACTACTACTCTCAGCACAGTTTAATTATATCTACTTAACCTGTGTTTGCCCTTCCAGGCTAAAGTACTAATAATTACTACTGGTTTTAATTACTATAACCAATTAGGTACATCGTGATATTTGCTAATTCTAATATTTAACATTTTTATAATAAACTAGAAATATCTACATAATGACTTAATTTTAAATTAAATATTATCATGAGCTTCTTCTTTAATAGTAGTTGGTATAACACTACCCAAATGGATATTACGCATGGAATTTCCGATTTGCACAAAAGAGGTCCCTGATGATGTTAACGAGGTAGCATTGCCAACACGTCTTATATTATCTCTATTATCAAAATTAGTTTGAAAAGTATTTTTAATGAAGGCATTTACTTGCTGTAGGTCAGTTTCACTCAACTTCCTTATGTTATTCAAAGTCTCCTGAAAATTACTATTTGGTCGAGTTGCATAGTTAATATTTGGAAAATCTGAATTCGCATCAAATACTTCCTCCAATGATTGATAGATTTTGCGTTTAAATATAATTTTTTGACGTGCATTCATGATCTTCATATCTGGTAGTAGGGTGTCAAGAAATTTTACATCTACATCGGCGACAGGTAATGACCAACTATCATCAGATTTACTCATTTTTAATTCGCTACCGGAATGTTGGAGTTGCTCTTCAATAGAACGTTTACGCTTTCTGGCTGGTAATACGCGTTCATTACTTTTAGCTGCTACTTGATTATTATTATGTTGAGCAGTATTAGTTATACCTTGTAAGTCTATGCCCATATGTTCAGTTGAAATATTTTCTAATAAATCATATTCCATATCTGAATCAATTTTAACCTGGGCCATGGGATTTGAACTGTCATTGTCTTCATATAACAATGTTACACAATCTTCTGGATCCTCTGTTAGTTCCACTTCAACATCATTTGGTGCAATATCATCCGCCTCTTCATTCTCTATATGTAACATTACTCTTCCTTTAATACCCCCTTCAGTCATGGGTTTCAATAAAAAGCGTAACTCTTCATATAAGTAGTAAGGCTTTACCCGATTCGGACCACTATACGTTTTGTAAATATTTACAGATCGAGCAAATGCTGCACGTATATTACGCCAGCGTTCCTTACATGAAGCAACTGGAAATTTAAAACAAGAAATTTAATATCAATAAATACAATATTTTATGTCACTTTTTCGAACAACGATGAATTACTCCACTCAAGAACAGTCATAGCCAAGAAAACATCTAGAAGTTATCATTTCGAAGGCAGGCAAGTGGAATAACAACTATTGGGGTACATTTGGACAAATATCAAACGAACATATACCTGCTAGTATAGTAGTTAGCAAGTAATTCCGGGACGTATACCAGATCATCTCAAAAATGTTTAGAATCAACACATTGCTCCGCCTCGGCCCAGACTAATTTCAATCAACACACACAAACCGCCATCATTATTTTTTATCGCAAACTACTCCTGCCAATTTCTAGGTTATATATCAACAATAACTATGACTAAGTCATTTTAATCTTCTGCTTTTCTAAGTGTATTATTTTACCACATAAATATGTTTCGTAAAATTTTGATTTACAACTTTTTAAAGTTTTTAATATCTTATAAGAACATCGCTAAATTAACTCATCCCTCCAAACTTAGCAACGACATATTATTTATAGAGTATCGATGTCTTCAACCTTCAAAGCGTATTCAATATAAAAAAAGTATTCAAATAAAAAGATCTGCTTTTGGTCTAAAACTATCTGTATAAATAGTATAAAACTATCTGCACTGACAACTGCCATTAGAGATATAAAGAAACATACATAAAACAAATCAACTTGTTCTGACAATAATCTACCAGAATTTTTAAATAATATATATTAGGTGTAGTAAAAAGAAATCCATTTCCTAATATATAGCTAGTTATCTGTATTCCGCGTTGTGTAAGTCCAATCGGGTTACGCTAGATTGCATTAGAAAGATGAAATTTCGTACCAGAAAAAACTGTTGACAATTTGGTAATTGGTTGACTCTATTTTGTTTGAGAGCGTGTCAACGATGGACACTAGTAAAGAGAATATACGTCATATTTTTCAGTTTTTTTTGTCATATTTAGCCTGGTGAAACAGAAAGCCAGGCGGCTGAAAATGTGAATAGTGTTTATGGTCCTGACAGTATCAACTGTAACAACCAATCATGCGCAATTTTGGTTTCGTTTCCATTCCCGATTCCGTTCCCGTAATTTCTATGTCAAGAATGCACCATACACTAGAAGTGTTCCATCAGCACAATGCTAGGCCATACATATCGATGATGCTCCGGGAGCTTACTTGGGAAGTTCTTATGCATCCACCTAATAGTCCAGACCTGGCGTCTAGTGATTACTACGTGTTCTTGTTCATGGCGAACGATTTTTCTGGTGAAGAACTCGCCATGCATTACAAATCTATATTACACATATACACATATATTACACGTATATTTATATATATTTATATGTATATATATTTATATTAAGTAATTGGATAACAGTTTATGTACTTGGGTAACAGTTTTCTAACCAGATTGCTTATGGTTAGAATAAATTCACATTTGGGGCATGTTGGTTATTCATCCCTTTTAAGCAAATGGATGTAAGTTAGGTTGGAATTTCCTAGTCATAATCTTGTTATGATATTATCATATATATATTTTGTTATTATATGAAGAACAGATGCTATTGTTTGAATATTGAATGTATTTAAATATAGTATAAAATATAGTAATATAGTATGAAACAACAGTATGAAAAC